ATATGTTCTGTTTATTCTTATTGGAGTTTGATGTGTTCTTATTTGGATTTTGGACATGGTATAAGATCTGAATATGATTTCTTGTGACAGTTAATTGGTGTTGGGTGTATAATTTATGATCCTGAAGTTTTGTTTTTCTGTTAGGACCTCTGGTATCATCATTGGGCTAAACTTCTGCATTGTTATCAATCATGAAGTACCTGGAATATACCCCTCTTGATCGGTAAGCTTCGACATATAAGTACAGAAGAGTTTTTGTTGTTTGGTTGCAATAAATTTTTTTATTTGCACGTACAGGATAAATGATTTTCTGAGTCATGTGAATCTTGGAGAGCGAACCATTAAAGGATGTCTCGAAGCGTATTCTTGTAAGTGCTTCCAATGATCTCCAAGTAGAAATTGCGCTTGCATCTGGAAAATCTCATGATGTTTACTTTTGCTTGTTAGGTAAACACACTGGAACAGACAAGAAATTATCGCTTAGCTTGGAGAATGAGGTAACTTCGATTCATGAATATGTTATCTATCATGTGTCTTTTACTCTTTACTGTGGGTAGGTAGAGCAATCATTGTGCAACACTTCATTTCTCTACTATTTTCAACAATATGGAGCTCGTTTTGCATGAAAGGTTGATTGGTGAATGAAAATTACAAGTTTTTGTTAATATCATCAAATTTTTTGTATAAGTGAAATCACATGTATTGAAGTATAAAACAAAAGGCTTCTTCTACTATCAAGCGCTCACCCAGGGAAGACAGGGGGATTATGCATCCTCAGGGAGGTCCATATGTGTGTCTTGCATTATTTTTTATTAGAAAATAGAGATGCTATTTTTTTAAAAACACTTGCGTCCAGACTAGCTTGCACGCTGCTTGACTATTCAGTGAGTATCTGCTAACTCTTACAAGCATAGGTACGTGGTAGTTCTGCACAATAAAGCTTAGCAAATAGGAAGAAGTAGTCCTTCTGTCCTGCGTAATTAGCAATTCAACTTTAATGGAAGAGCTTTGACACAAGAAGCATTATATTGTGCTAATCATGATGTTCACTTTACATCTTGTTTTTGGTCAGAAAGATAAATAAATTTACACCTTTCTCCCAAATATGTAGAAACTGAATCTCATTATTTTCAATCCTGATTAGCTTTTTTATGCTCATTATTGTATATTTATCGACTGCATCCTCCCCCGTGTTGTTGAAACTTCATTTATTTCTTGCAACTTCGGTTGTTTATGACAGTCGTTCAATTTCTTCTTGTTTCCGTAGGAGTAACTAATAAAGTTTCTTCTTCCGGGAGATCTTAAAGTAACTTTTGGTTGCAGATTTTTGATTATCTTGGAAAATCTTCAGATGCGGATTCTTCTTCACCTGTTGAATATCTAATGTGTAGATCCAGGTGGTGAATCCAGACCTATGGCTGGAGTTTTACGTCTGAAACGAGTTTGTATTGTTTCATAATGCATTTTTTTTTCTAATTTTTCATTCCAGCCGGAAAACGTTGATATATCTACTCCTTTCTCTCTATCACATGTATCCAGATTATGACTTCAGGTAAGTCTCTAACTTATGGTGTATAAATAATGTTTTTATATTTGTATTTACTCAAAAAGGAAAAGCACAATCCTCTTGTATTTGTAGTATAAGCTGACTGGGTGGATTATGGGTAATGCCACTGTCAGCTTCTTTGGCGACGTGGCATCCCGCTTTATAATCCTACTCTTACAGCTGTGGGAGTGTTGTCAGATGGATTGACAGACAGTTTAGATCACTGTTGCTCTTGAAGGAGCTGAGAGTTCAAGTCTCTCCATTTCCCAATACAATTCTCAAGTTGTCTTGTCTGTTGTCAGTGTTCTGATTATGCGTGTATATGCAATTTGTCCCTGTTTTGCTTTGACTTGCCAACTTTATGGTTTACAGTGCAGTGAATGCTCACCAGTTTTTCACTGAAGAGAGCTGGGACAGTTTTAAGCAGATATTTGATGTCTACATGTTTGAGGCTTCAAAGGTTATTATATTTCCATTCTTCTGCTACTAAGCTGTGTTTGTTACAGATTATATGATGGGAACATATTGGCAATTGCCTTGGTTCTCATGTCGCCATTTCAGTTGAAATCATCTCCTACCTTTGATTTTACTTGATTACCTTGTTTTGATTAACTAGCATGTAACTAGAGGTAACTTAATCAAACAAGGTTGTGCTTAGGATCTATGCCTTTAATAGACCAAAAGATCAGATTAATTGCTTTTCGGAAAAGAATTATATACCGTTATTTGACTGTTTCTTTCTAGTGTTTTGCAATAGCATATGTAGAGCAGTCAGATGATTAGACTATTTTATCTTTTCCGTGTTTTCTTCGGAAAGGGTAGTGAGTGTATTTTATGTCGTAATGGAGATGTCATAATGTTATATTCGTTTCAAGACATAGCTAAGCTATCATAGAGAGAACTTCGAGCTTTTTGTTTAGATATTCTATGATTTGGGTTGCAGGAATGGCTTGACGCAAATGAAGGCAGTGCTCTGCTTGAAACCTTGTACAAGGCTTTAGATGAGGTGAGGTACTTTTTTATCAACATAAAAAGGAGACAAAGAGGGAACATGGTCAAGTTGCTTAACTTATTAGCAGTGCAGGTTGTAAAAGTTGCTGAATGTGAACTCTACACTTACAATCCGGAGGCAGATGCAGATCCATTTCTCGAGAAAGGAGCCATGTAAGACTTTTTATATGGATATATCTTCTTTATCCAATTATTTGTTTAACTGTGACAACTTTCTGCATGAGGTCCCTATTCTTCAACTTTTTATGTAGACCATCTGATTGAGGTCCTCTCCAACTACATTTTACGAAGTACCCAAAAACCATGGTCAGGTCAAGGGCAAGGCAGTTGAACTAAAACTAATAGGCTAGAGATTATTATAGATAGAAAGTATTATACTTTTTTTTTTGCTCTCGGGCTTGATTGATGTTATTCAGACGAGTAAGTTATAGTAAAATTTACTTATTAGTACATTTACATCCACATCCAGCTTTGATTATTCCATTTGTCATATGTTTCTTTCCTTTTTCTTGAATATGATGTTTTGGCTTTCCTATTTCATCTCATTTTGCCTATATAAACTGTTTCTCTTTGTCCTGTTTGATTGGTTAAAGCTGTAGTTCATGGTCATTTTCAAATTAAAATATTGCCCAAACATCATGTGAGACTACGACAAAAAGAGCGACAAGATTGTATTTACTAGTCAAATTTCTTGTTATGAGTGGTAGTCCATTAACACAAGTCTTTGCATCTTTTCCAGATGGTCTTACCACTTTTTCTTCTACAATAGAAGATTGAAACGTGTCGTGAGTTTCCGCTTCAGCTGTGTGAGGTGATTACTCTACTCTTCCAATGTTCCAGGATGTGATATTCTACTTTTAACCAGCATACATTTAGGTCTGATCAACTGTTGTTTATTGCAGTAACTTGGTTAGTGAAGGACACCTATTAGACGACTCAAGTTTTGATGAAGATGGAGAGATATTCGATGGTATGGACATGTGAATACAACATTTTGTTCATAGCACGTTGTTAGTGTCGTAAATCCTTGTATCGAATTAGTGGTGTACAATTTGACAGTAGGTACTGAAACTTCTATATATATCGTAAATAAGCAGCATCCTTGTATCGTTTAGAGGGTTTGAGGTAGCGACTCTCGCGCTGCTTCGTGATCAGTTATGTATTTTTCTGTACTCTGTGATGAAGATTTTTTCAAAGTTATGGTTGGCATTACTGTTGCCCCTATTCTTATGAAGCTCTTTGTGTGTATTTCTTGTGTCCTGCATTGGTCAAGTTGAATTTCGAAATTTTATGGACAAAAGTGTTTAATAATTTCATTCTTCTCGTTTACTATCTAAGTTTTATTGGCAAGTTCTTATGATTTAGTTTTTCACTTTTTCATCAGCAATTTTTAGGTTAACCTATTTTTTGCCAGTGTTTTATATAACCTTCATACATATGTTATCTTTACAATAATGCTCCTTATTAATAGCATTGAATACTTTGATTTCCATTATTTTTAAACTTAATTTGCTTAGTTGCATAGTGACTATCAGTAAATGTTTGATCAATAATGTATCGTATTGTATTATATATCATTTTATAATATATTATATTGTGTTGTATGTATATTGGTTTACTATAGGATGTGAGCAGTAAAATAATATACATACCATATAATACGATACATTATGAAATGATACGTAATAACTATCCAAACAATGTGTAAAGACTCAGTAGCATACAACTAGTTTACATTGGTTTGGATCATTTTAAGTATTTATTAAATAGATTAGAGTGTGTTAGTAATACTTGCATGTGTATATTGATTATATTAAAATTATTTTTGTGCATTAAAAGTAGTTTGTACATTAAAAAATAGCATGCATTGTATATATTAAAAAGATGTAAAAAAAGTTTTGAGGGGTAATAAGATTTTTAATTATATATGTAAATGTATGCATTGAAATTATTGCATTGCTAATATCAAAAAATTTAGTATCTTAATAATACACATCTTAATACATGATAGAATATATAGTAGTTATACATAAAGTGAAATTCTTACTTTTTTTAATAATCAAATTATAAGATTTTAATCCATATTTTAACATGTATTTTACTGTCATACAAATATAAAATTAAGTATAATTTATTATATTTTTGTATAGCTTTTAAATATTTAAAATATTGAATAAATCTAATTCAACGTAGCAATAAAGATTTATCAAATGACTTTTAGAGTCATAGTAAAACAAAGCATCATAAATAAATGTGAACAAAGAGAGTATAAATAAGTTATGATAGTTATAAATTTCTTTTGAAATTCGAAGAATATCACATAAATTGAGATGAAAAGATAGTCATAAATTTCTTTTGGAATCTGAAGAGTGTCACGGAAATTAAGATGAAAAGATAGTCATAAATTTCTTTTAAAATCTGAAGAGTGTCACGTAAATCGAAATAAAAGAATAATACAAAGAGTTAAATTAGAGAGGGGAATAATTCTCTCTATATAAAGGAGAGCGTGGATAAAGATATTACTATAATTCGTTCCAGAGTGCTAATATATATTATCTATTATACGACAATATAAAATGCCTGGTGGCAAAGGTGGTGGCGGTGGTGGTAAGGGAGGCGGCGGCGGCGGCGGAAACGGTGGTGGAGGTGGAAGTGGTGGTGCTAAAAGTGGCGGTGGTAGTGGCGGCTCTGCTAAGGGGAGCGGCGGCGGCGGGTCAATGAAGGCGCCAGGTGGCGGCGGCGCGTACATTTCAAGGGGTGGCTTTGAGAGTAACCCACAGGGTTACTTCTCTGGTCTCCACTCTGGACAAAAGGGAAAATGATCATGCTTTAAAATAAATAAATAAATAAATATTAGTGTGTGTTTTAATTTTAATGTTTTTTTTGGGTTTTATTATTTCGTTTTGGTAAGAATTATGGAACTTTTTGGATCATGTAAAAAAGTTCTACTACTAAGTTTATATGCAAAGTCATGAAGTAATTTATGTATGCATGGTATTTTGTTATTAGTTCAAGTTTTCTTGTATTTCTGATTTTTCTATCAAATTTTTAATTTTTAAAGTCGAAGAGCTATTTAATATAACAAATAAAATAAAGGTTAAATTCATATAATAATGAATTTTCTTTGGTATCACATTTTGTTGAACTATATTAGATATGTTATTGGGATAATTCTTGTTGCCAAAGAATTACTAGTGTGGCTGATTCTTCTTTTATAAAATTTATTCTAATAATATTTGATTAGATTAATTTAAAAGGGGAAATGATTATAAACCTTGAGGAACAAAAATTCAATCAAAATTTGGTGTTACTTAGGTTTACTACATAAAAAAAAATAAAAAATTTCGTTTTTGTTTTGGGATTTATCAAAATCTTTTGTTACTTCAATTTTCCTTCCTTTTCCTAATTATTGGTAAAATTAGCTTGGCAACTTTTAATTTTTGTATACATGATATTTTGCATATCTTTCTAATATATACGTTAAAACAATTACATACTTCTTTGATATTTTATGTTTAAACGACTTCCATTCAACTACAATATTGGAAGTTAATCATAATGGCATAAATTTGAGGAAAACTTCTAACTTGAACATGAAGAAATTAAAAGTAAATTGTGTTAAATTGAACGTTGGAGAGAAATAAGGTCCGAGATGAAAAAATTAGTGAGGTATAATTTTTAATTATTCCTTGAAATAGTAAATATAACCATGTAAATTTACTACTTAAATAATATTATAGCTTTATTATTTTAAAGTATTGTTTTAACTCTCATTTGGTGTGAGAAATTAAAAAATAATAGTAATGAGATAAAAAAAATTATGTTATTTGATTACCATGTTTGGAATAACTTATCTCACCATCTAATATCATAGTTATAGGATAAGTTATCCCAAGATAGCTAACCCCAGGATAATGTATTTCCCCCGGTTTACTTTTATATCACATCGTAGATCCCATCCCAACGCTATTTTTCTTATCACTGAATTAGAACATAGTGCATAAATACTCTTCGATGCAGCGGAAACGATACGAGGAGGTTGATGATTTGAATAACCAAAAGATATTAAGAGATTTGTTACATTTCAATATAGTTTGATTAGTTTGAAAGTATTTATTGATAGTGCACTACTTGTACATTGTTCGTGACATGTGCTAGTGACCATTTTGGATGTCTAAGTAGCATTATTGGAAGTTCACAAGTTAATATTTGTTAGAACAAGTCGAGATTTGATTAGATGAGTTTTTGCGATTATATTTATACATAGATTAATTAGAAGTAAATTTCGTGAGGATTTAAAAATTTCATTCAAAAATCAAAATTTGAAATGATCTACCATAATTTTTTAAAAAAAATTTGCTAAATAATTTTTTTTGAATCTGCTTCTTATTGCATAGAGATTTAATTAGATAAAGATTATCTTATGATGAACTATGTTTGATCCTTAGTAATAATGATCGATTTATGAGATTTTGTTAATTTTACAGTTTTTAGAACAAAAATATATTGGTGTTTTCGAAAAACGGGAAAGAAAATTTCTATCGTAACTCTGAATCCCCTTAATTAAAATTTAAAATAAATTTTCCTATCATTATTAATTCTCTAAAATTATGTCAATATAAATTATATTATTCTACAACGGTCATTATATTAAATAATAAGGATGGATATATATCCTAAAATTTGATAAAAATTTATTCGGAAAATGCCTCTAAAATTTTCTAAAATTAGTAATTTCTTGCTTTATTATTTATTTTAATTAGGATTACATCATCATGGATATTAAGATGATTTACAAAAATTATTTATTAACATTACAAGTCTAATTTGGTAACTAAAGATCAAAACTATATATATTTAGAGTTAAATAAATTCCATTTTGTAATTTTGTATTACAGCCTTCCTTCGTTAACCTCGAGCAGAATCTCCGGAGATGAGCATTCCAACCGGAGAAGTCGCCGGAGAGGACTTGTTTGCACAGGCAACTGCAGCCGCCGATGACCTTTATAATTTTCGCGACAACTGTTTCCGCTTAACTTCGGAGGAGAGAGACTCCAAATTGCAAAGCCAATCTGATCTAGCTCTTCAAATCCTCGATAAAATTCCTATAGGTAAACTCTCTGTATTATTCAAGCTAACTTCTGCGGAAGTAGTAGGAATTGCGTCGAATTTGGATTAAGTTTCTGATAAATTTCTGCAGAAAAGAGGAAATTGCCACTTCAACGTGCAACCTCTGAGTATCTAAGAGGGAAAATACTGGATGCAGTTCCTGTGTATAAGAAGGAAGCTGAGGATCATCTGTCTAAAGCTGTGAGTAAAAGATAAATACAGAAAGCTAATTGGATGTCCTAAATATGCTTTGTTATTGAGTTAGTAGCATTGTTATTTGAAGTGTTTGTCAATTTGTTCGTTTTAGGTTAAGTTGAATCCATCTCTTGTGGATGCTTGGCTGTGTCTGGGTAACTGCATTTGGAAGAAAGGAGATTTAAATGCAGCTAAAAACTGCTTTATGTTTGCTCTTGGCAAGGTGGGTTATGCTGCTGCTACATTTGTTACTATAAGATTTTAATAGAGAAGTATTATAAAAAAGGTCTAACATATAATGCTTCCATTTGTTGATTTTTTCAGGGTCCAAATAAGAAGATTCTATGTCAACTATCAATGCTTGAAAGGAAACTGTCTCATGGTGAATATTGCTTTAGGCTTTGAGTTTTTTTTGTTCCTTAACGAGCATCGCAAGTACATATGCTACTCCTTTTATTCTGATAAGATATATAATATATATTACTGAATTGTGAATAGGAGGAAATGTGACCATATGAAGGCTTTCTTTTACTGAGTGACCAAACCTAATGAAGTTGGGTACAACCATGAAGAACTTCAAACTGAATGATTTATTATGTATACTTCCCATTCTTTTTTGAGGTTTCCAACATATTATTAATTCTGAGGCATACAATAGTACCTGTATCACACATAGACGTAAAGTTCTATGATGTATTATTTAGCATTAAATAAATGGTAGACTAGAGTTCTCCCTTGGAGAGTTACTTGATTCTTTGATGTTATGGTTTGTTTGTTGAGTCTTGTATGATCCTGTGCCATCTTGGTACTTTATCAATAAAACTTTGACTTTATCAAAAAAAGGAAGACTAGAACTTTTCCTTTCCAAAGATGGGACATAACATCATGTAAGGAACTTTAAATTATAAATAGAAATTCAAGGCAATGTGGTCAGACTTGTGTGATTTGCTAGGAACCTACAAATATCACCAACCTGATGTCTAGAGAAATTGAGGCATCCATAATGATGATATCTCCCAGTACCTAATTTTGAGGGCTGTATTTGCAATTAATGGGGTTGTATGGAGAAAAATATAACCTTATGGAATCAGTTTGTTGAATAAGTCAAATTGAAAGTAGGTGTGGTAAATATCAGATTGTGGCTTGATAAGTTGCAGGATAATGGAACACCAAAACAAAAATATCCAGCTTTATTCAACAAAGATGTAGAATCTAAAAGAAACATTAATGATTCGGAGACTGTCATAGTTACTGAATCACTAGGAGAGCTGACACCGGATGAAAACTCAAAGGATTCAGAATTGTGGAGAACAACAAAGGAAGGAATTATTCTATATAGTTGTGCTATCATAGCTACTCAGGAATGAAGTCAGTGATAATGTTTAAGGACCATTAAAAATGCTAGGGACAGCAAAATTTCCAATAAAATTGGTTTTTCTTTTGGATGGGTAGATTTACTGAGGCATGTTTAACACATCACAACGTGCAAAGAAGATTATTCAATCTCTGTAGTGGGTGTTGCTTTTGGGAAGACTATCGAATCTGCGAGACATCTATAGCATAGAAGGTGTACTTGCCGAATAACACTTGGCAAATCTGGTGTCTGTTCTGGAATCTTTATGGGACTCGGTGAGTTTGGCTGGCAGTTAAATCAAACAATGACCAGTTGGCAGGGGCAAAACATAAGCAGTGTCAGATATGAATAACAATTCCCTTATGAGTTATGTCAATCATGGACATTTTGACTAGAAAGAAACCAGACGTTTTGCAGGGAAAAACAGAATATATTTTTTTCTAGATTAAAAAAAATTGTGCTGCTGCAATGTGGCAATTTTCATCCTTGGAGTTTTCCCTTCTGATTCTTCCTTACGAAATCTCTTAACTTCAGTATGATCATATAATGTCATATTTCATCAACAGTAAAACCTGAAATGTCATTTACATAGACGTTACTGTAATTTATGCCTGAAATTTCTATTCTACATGTTCTTTTGAGTCTTAATACGAAAGGATACCACTTCTATCCCTCTGTTCTACTCTCCAAACTGATCAACCACTCTACTTCGAGATTTCTACATTTTAGATTATTTATCTTAATCTTGAAGTATTAAAGTAAAGAATGTATATTTAAGCTTTCTTGTCTGTATTTTTGCTTATGGTGAAAAGTTAACATATTCGCTGACATTTCTTTTCCTAAGAAGGCTGATCATACTTTATTCATCTATATTTACTTTGCAGATGCTGAAAATCCAGAAGAAATTGTTGATGAAAGCATCAAACATGCCAGGGAAGCAATCGCTTTGGATGTCAAGGATGGATATTCTTGGTGTAAGGAATCTAGTTTAAAGGAGACACTTCCTTAATTCCGAGCTCTAACATCCCTTAGTTATGTTTGTTCAACCACTATCTATTTCTCTATTCACCTTTGACCTAGTGCTAGTCAATGATATTAAGTCCATGTTTGCCTTGCTTTATAGCATGTTATAGCTTAGAAGCAAAATGTAGTTTCTATACGCACTCATGATTAAGGCATGGCAACTAAGTAGATTTAGTACTTATACATTTCGAGTGCATGCTACACAAAAAAAAAACAAACAAAAGAGTGCATGCTACACTTCACTTTTCACCTTAGGTTACTTCAGCACCATGCACGGCTAAAGTTCTGCTAGATTCATACTCTAACTGATTGCGTATGGATTTTTCT